CAAATGTGCCCGCCGCTGAGGGGACAGCCACATTTTGAAAACGACCCCCCGTCCATCCCTGAAACTGCTGCAAACTTTTAAGACGAATGCGCGCGGCGCTAGGGCGAGAGATATATTATGGAAAAGCCCCCCATCCACCCCTGAAGAGCGCAGCGTTATGGGGAGGAACACGTTCTGAAACTTACTCCGACGGAAGGACCCCACATGAGAATCCTCTGGGCGAATCTGGAAAAAGCCCTCGCCGTCGTCCTCGTGGTTGGTGAGGCGTCCTGGCTGTCTCTTCTGCGTATATTTCTTCTCGCTCTGGCGCGGGCCCCCCCCCCGCTCCCTACGTTGCCCTCGACCTCGCCCTCCTGTTACCTAGCAGCGAAGACTGATAGGTTTCTAGTAGGGTCAAAAGAGAGCATCATGACTCCCCAGGGGGGTCTGGGCAGATGCCAGACGGGTGCCGCGGGAACTCCGGGAGTTTTTTTAACCCAACAGTAACGCACTTTGTGATCTTCGAGTTCCCAGAACTCCATTTTTGAATGCCCCGAGTTCTGTAGGCCACTTCGTGTTCTTCGAGTTCCCAGAACTCCATTCCTGGGCTTTGATGAACTGTTTGAATGGGCCCCGGAGCCAACTGTAGGCCACTTCGTGTCTTCGAGTTCCCAGAACTCCATTCCTGGGCATGATTTTGAATGCCCGGAGCCAACTGTAGGCCACTTCGTGTTCTTCGAGTTCCCAGAACTCCATTCCTGGGCCACATTTTGAATGCTGAGGCAGGCTGATGCTGCGGCCGAGGCAGGCTGAGGCTGAGGCCCAGGCTGATGGGCTGAGGCCAGGCTGAGGCTGAAGGCAGACTGAGGCTGAGGCTGAAGCATGAGGCTGAGGCTGAGGCAGGCAGGCTGAGGCTGAGGCTGAAGGCAGGCTGATGCTGAGGCAGGCTGAGGCTGAGGCTGAGGCTGAGCTGATGCAGGCTGAGGCTGAGGCAGGCTGAGGCTGAGGCCGAGGCTGAAGGCAGACTGAGGCTGAGGCTGAAGCAGGCTGAGGCTGAGGCTGAGGCTGAGGCTGAGGCTGAGGCAGGCTGAGGCTGAGGCTGAGGCTGATGCAGGCTGAGGCTGAGGCAGGCTGAGGCTGCTGAGGCCGAGGCTGAAGGCAGACTGAGGCTGAGGCTGAAGCAGGCTGAGGCTGAGGCTGAGGCAGGCTGAGGCTGAGGCTGAAGGCTGATGCTGAGGCTGAGGCTGAGGCTGAGGCTGAGGCAGGCTGATGCTGAAGCCTGAGGCTGAGGCAGGAGAGAGGCTGATGCTGAGGCTGAGGCTGAGGAAGGCTGAGGCTGAGGAGGCAGAAGGCGATTGAGTCTGAGGCTGAAGCAGAGGCTGAGGCTGAGGCTGAGGCAGGCTGAGGCTGAGGCTGAGGCAGGCTGATGCTGAGGCAGGCTGAGGCTGAGGCTGAGGCTGCAGGCTGAGGCTGAGGCTGAGGCTGAGGCCGAGGCTGAAGGCAGACTGAGGCTGAGGCTGAAGCAGGCTGAGGCTGAGGCTGAGGCAGGCTGAGGCTGAGGCTGAGGCAGGCTGATGCTGAGGCAGGCTGAGGCTGAGGCTGAGGCTGATGCAGGCTGAGGCTGAGGCTGAGACTGAGGGAGGCGAGGCCGAGGCTGAAGGCAGACTGAGGCTGAGGCTGAAGCAGGCTGAGGCTGAGGCTGAGGCTGAGGCATGGCTGAGGCTGAGGCTGAGGCAGGCTGATGCTGATGGCAGGCAGGTGAGGCTGAGGCTGAGCTGAGCTGATGCAGGCTGAGGCTGAGGCCGAGGCTGAGGCTGAGGCAGACTGAGGCTGAGGCTGACTGAGGCAGGCTGAGGCTGAGGCCGAGGCTGAGGCTGAGGCTGAGGCAGGCTGAGGCTGAGGCTGAGGCAGGCTGATGCAGAGGCAGGCTGAGGCTGAGGCTGAGGCTGATGCAGGCTGAGGCTGAGGCAGGCTGAGGCTGAGGCCGATGCCGACGGCAGACTGAGGCTGAGGCTGAAGCAGGCTGAGGCTGAGGCAGAGGCAGGCTGAGGTTGAGGCTGAGGCAGGCTGATGCTGAGGCAGGCTGAGGCTGAGGCTGAGGCTGAGGCTGATGCAGGCTGAGGCTGAGGCAGGCTGAGGCTGAGGCCGAGGCTGAAGACAGATTGAGGCTGAGGCTGAGACAGGCTGATGCTGAGGCTGAGGCAGGCTGAGGCTGAGGCAGGCTGAAGCTGAGGCTGAGGCAGGCTGAGGCTGCGGCTGTGACTGCGACTGCCGTTGTCACTGCGACTGTCATCGCGAATGCGACTACGACTGCGAGAACAGCAGAATTCTACAACTAGATTCTCATCTGAATCCTAAGGGGAATGCTTCCAGATATGCTCCCACACATTGCTGTTAGGTTGCTTTGCCGGGATATTCTTTTCCGCGCCCCGCCACCTCCTCACCTTTCCATTGCATGAACGCGCATGTCGGTTTTCTTCTGCCCCTTCGCCGCCTCGGCCAGCACAGGCGCGTTCTCTAATGGGCACGTCGCGCAGCCGTTGGGACAACCCCGCGGGCCAGGCTGTCGGGACAACCCCGCGAGCCTCTTGCGCGCAAGACCAAGCCGTTGGGACAACCCCGCGGGTTTCGAGCGGGGCGCAGCCGCGCTCAGGCGGGCAGCACGAAGCCCAGCTCTGCCGCGAGTTGCTTCGCCTCCGCCCTGGACTAAACCGCTCTCTTGTCGAACTCCAGGAGCGCCTTCCGCAGGGACGCCGGCGGCCCTCGCTCCAGGAACTCCCGTGGCGGCGGCCGCAGGATCAGCATGTTCCGCATGCACGTGGCGCGGGAGAGCATGACGTAGAGGTGCAGCCACCGCTGCTCGTCCGACATGCCCGTGCGGCCAGCGTCCTCGTCTCTCGCGCAGGCGATGGTGACGCCCTTGCGCAGCGTCTGGCCTTGCGACAGCGTGGAGGTCAGGTAGGACGCGTGCGTCAAGGTGAACCCCGAGCGGCCCACGCTGTGCGCCCCCGAGCTCTGCCATGTGAACTCCCTTTCGTTGGACCTGAACATCAGCAAGCTCCGCGCCCGCGCCTGGGCCTGATCGTCGTCGTCGGCGTCTTTGGCGCCCTGTCGCAGCACCTCGGCGACCTCCTGGTAGATCGGAGACTCCTTGGAGCCGTGCACCTGCAGCGAGGTTCCCTGCGGTAGGAAGCGGGGGCGACAGAGCTGGCCTGCCGAGCGCTCCTCGTGCCGCTGCTCGTCCTCGTGGTGGAACTCGACAGACACGATGGTGGCCCGTTGCTCCTGCACGAGCCCCAACTTCTTCTTCAGCTCTTCTTGCGCTGCCGTGAACCGCACCTCCATGCCGACGTGGGCCGGCAAGACGCCGTGGATGTCCCCTGTCTTGTGCATGTTCGGGACGTTCAGGAGGCGCCGACCCGCGTCGGAATCGCCCTGAATCGTGCCGCGCTCGTCAACGGCCTGCAGGAAAACGAGGGGCACGCCCAGACGCCGAGCGTCGCGACGAGCACGCGTGTTCATCCACCTCGCAAGCGTTTCCCAGTATGTGGCCCGGGAGTGGTGTTCTGGGAACACGAAGAACACAAAGTGGCCTACAGTTGGCTCCGGGCCTTCAAAATGTGGCTCGGGAGTGGTGTTCTGGGAGCACGAAGAACACGAAGTGGCCTACAGTTGGCTCCGGGCATTCAAAATGTGGCCTGGGAGTGGCGTTCTGGCAGCGCGAGAGCCCAAAAGTGGCGACGGTTAGAGGAATTTGATGATTGTCGGCTTCGTAACATGATCCGCGGGCCCCATAGGGAAAATGTGGCCTGGGAATGGCGTTTTGGCAGCGCGAGAGCCCAACATTGGCGACAGTTACACGAATTGGATGACCCGCTCGGATTAGTAACATGATCCGCGGGCCCCATCGGGAAAATGTGGCCTGGGAGTGGCGTTCTGGCAGCGCGAGAGCCCAACAGCGGCGACAGTTACAGAAATTTGATGACCCGCTCGGATTCGTAATATGATCCGCGGGCCCCATAGGGAGGGGGTTCCCGCTTGAGACTTCCTCGGGTTAGTAACATGATCCGCGGGCCCCATAGGGAGGGGGCTCCCCTTTGAGACTTCCTCGCAATTCACTCACAGACGAGGCCCAAGGCGAGTGAGTGAGTGAGTGACTGACTGACTGACGGGTGATGATGATGATCATCACACTCTCTCACGCGCACTCATCATCATCATATGTGAGTTCGTGAGCGTGTGCGTGAGTGAGTGCTGATGAGTCCGTGAGTGAGTGAGTGAGTGAGTGAGTGAGTGAGTGAGTGAGTGAGCTAGTGAGTGAGTGAGTGAGCGCACGAAGACAGAAGAGGAGAGGGGGTGAGGCGAGGAGGTTCCTGCGCGGGGAATCCAGAGAAAACAAGAATCCCACTTTGGATGTGGGGAAACAACTCTCCAGCCAGGGAGCTGTTACAAACTTGCATGATGAATGCGCGCGGCGCTAAGGCCAAAACCTCATTTTGAAATCGCCTCCCCTCCACCCCTCATGGCACATGTTGGAGACGAATGCACCCGGCGGAAAAAGGCAAGAGCCACACGTTGAAGCAGAACCGCCGTCCAACCGCGCAATTGTTGCAAACTTTCCAAACACATGCACCCGCCGCTAAGGCGATAACCGCATTTTGAAGACGATCCCCCGTCCATCCGTGAAACTGCAGCAAACTTGTAAGGCGAATGTGTAAGGCGCTAAGGCGAGAACCAGATTTTGAAAACCGCGGGTTTGCAAATATCCAAGCTCTACGATCATGAACGGTGAGGAAGTTACAAGCGAATTTCCCAGCCCGCCCTACCGACGCGTCTGGGGGTGCGACAGGGAGGACGGGTTATCTGTAAGGACAGGGATGGAGCAGGAGAAGGAGCAGGAAGGTGGGAGACGCGCGCGCGCGCTGCCCAGCGGCGCCTGGCGGTGTGCCCCTCCCCGCTGCCGCGCGTCTGCCCCCTCCCCCCCTCCCGGCGCCCCCGCGAGCGCGCGGGCGGGCGCCGGGATGGACATGAGCCTCGACGACTCGGACGGGGGGAGCGGCCTGGAAGGCGCGCGCCAGCCCTGCACGCCCCTGCTGACAGCGGGGCACCACCCATACGCCTGCGCCGACCCTGGCCAGGCATGATGGGTCCAGGATCGGTGTATACGGCCTTCTGGGCAGCACGGCCTCTGGGGGCCCTCGTGGGCAACGATAAGGGGAGGATATGCTCAGCGGGGGACGCATCGACCCCCAATCGCCGGGGACCTGACAGCCTATCCCGCCCAGGCACGTGCGGATTCGATATCAGGGGCCTATCGCCGAACCATCGGCGACGTATCGACGGACGACGGTGCCAGATCGATGCTCTCCCCCTCAGCCAGTCCCCCCCTTTCGTTGCCGTCATCGACAAGCATCTCAGTGTGAAAAGTTTGTTCTGGGGACGGGGTCGAGGCCTCGTCAGACTTCTGGGGCTCCACTGCTCGAACAAATCACGGCGTTGGGGGCCCAAGAAAGGGGGTGGCAATGGACAGGTACGGAGCCTGTTGCACGCAGCTGGTTTCGGCTCCCCTGCTTGGCACTTTCCTCGCTCGCCGCTCTCTTGGCGCTGGGACAAGCAGCTGCGTGCCACTGCTCTCCCATTCCCCCATCACGTTCGAAAGCGACGATGGGGGCGAACAGCCCAGGGGAAACCAACACATGTATCCAGAGGCGCCGAGTGTCCATGTCTTCGGCGAGGCACCCTGGCGAGTACGTGTAATGCCCGCCCCTGGGCGATTCACCATCGTCGCCTCCGACCCTCGCCGACCCCGTCGGCGGGGTGGCCGCTCGCGGCGCGAACCTCCGGGACACCTGGCGGATTGAGGAAGAGATCGCGGCGGTGGCTCTCATGGCCAGACTTGAACCCTACGGTCGGAGCGTCCCGACCTCCTCCTCCTCCTCCTCCTCCTCCTCCTCCTCCTCCTCCTCAACCTTCAACATCGACAACGACGATCGCCCCGACGGCCTCGCCGACGACACCGTCGACCTCTTGGGCTACCCCACCATTCGCCGACTCCGGCTACGTCGACCTGGACTCCGAGAGCCTGAGTTGCTCGGCGCCGCCGCGCCCGCAGCGTCCCAGACTGGAGGGAGGCACACCTCGTGGGCGCCAGACTCCTCCTCCTCCTCTTCCACCCTCCTCCTGGCCCATGGGTCCTGATGGCATCAGGTCCCCGCGGGTGCCGCCCTCCCACCCCAGGGCCAGTCGGCCTTGCGGAGCCTGATCGAGCCAAGAGCCAGACGACTCCTGGAGCGTCCGCTCCAGGAGTCGCCGGCTGAAGGCAGGCAGTGAAGGGTAAAAGGCAGGGGATAGTAGCGAGAAGACCGATCAGAACCTCGAGGGAAAGTGAACGACAGGACGTGGCGGCGGCGGCAGGGGCGCCACTCTCGCCAGAGTGGAAGGCGCAAAGACCTCTCCCCCTGCTCATAGCCCCCACAGGCGCCCCCCGGACCAACGTCGGGAAGCCTCACTTGCAAATCAGGGGTGGACCTAAGCGGTGTTTTGGCGATTTAGTGGGCCGTTTCGATGTCGTTTTGCGTTAAAGGCGGATTGAAGACAACACGAGGGAAAACGACAACAACATGAAAACGAAACACGCCGTTTAGTTCAGCTCTGCTGCAAACAGGCGAAAGGTTCCCAGAACGGTGGCCCGCGAGGAAGCCTAACCTGCAAGCAGGCGAGTAAGAGGACGCGTGGGAGGAAGAGGAAGAGGAGGAGGATGAGGAAGGGAGCAGGAGGAGGCGGAGGAGGAAAAGGAGGGAGGGAGGGAGAGAGGAGGAGGGAGGGAGGAGAGGAGGGAGGGAGGGAGGGAGGGAGGGCGGGGGGGAGGGTGGGAGGAAGGGAGGGAGGGGGGGAGGGAGGGAGGAGGGGAGGTAGGGAGGGAAGGAGGGAGGGAGGGAGGGGAGGGAGGGAGGGAGGGAGGGAGGTGAGGGTCCACCGAGCGCGGGGGAGGTTTTGAGCCTTGCGCGGCGGTGGCTTTCCCCGCGACGTTGCTCGCAGCTGTGCGTCTTGCGACGGCTGTGCGTCTTGAGCTGCTCCTGTTGCGATGCTTCTCGGGGCGGCGATTCGTCTTGTGACAGTTGTGCGTCTTGACACAACTGCTACTGTTGCTGCTGCTCCTGTTGCGATGCAGGGCCGGGCTCCATAAAGCATTGGCGCCCTTTCAGTCTCCCTGAGTGCCTTTCCGAGGAACCTGGAAATTCAGATGGAAGGGTGGATGGCGAAGGAAAGGGAATCGAAGCGGTGGGCGGGCATGCGCGGGCAGGTACCGGCACGCGGCTGGTTGGCAGTTTGTGCCGTCGAAGCCATCTCTCTCGCTCCAGGCCGTCCTTAACCATACTTCCCACCGTTTGCGGCCCTCCCCGCCCCCTCACCGCGTACAGCGCAGAGCTGGGTCGCACCGCCGCCTCGCTGCGTGGCGGCGCGCAGCGGGGCCCCAGGGACGCAGCAACCGGGCCCTCCAGGATGCGCCGATGGTGTGTCGTGAGACAGCTGCTCCTCTTGCTGCTGCTCCTGTTGCGACGCTTCTGAACGAAGGTTGGATGGCGAAGGCGGTGCGATCACCGAGGCGAAGGAGGGGAGGTGAGCCAACGGATCAGAGCTTGAGCTGAACGGGCATGGCAATGCAATTGTTGATTGGGGTTGGTGCAGTGTCGTAGCCCTCAACATGGTAATGGCCGTGTCGCACCGGCATGGCTGCACCCGTGGTTCAAAGCTCGTCGCGGATCATCCCGTTTCCTCCTCTCTCCTCCTTCCTTCGCCTCCTCCATTCCTTTTCCTTATAGATAATATCTCCCTGTCGCACCCCGAGGCCAGTTTTTAGGGCGGGCCGGGCGTTTCGCCTGAGGTGTCACCATTTATGATTCTGAAGCTTAGAAAAGGGGCAACAGCTTCGCAGATGGAGGGTGGGTCGTTTTCAAAATCTGGCTCTCGCTTTCGCGCCGCGTGCATTTCAGAAAGTGTAAGAGTTTCACGGAGTGGAGGCGCCGCGCACATTCATCTTAACAACTTCCAAGAGCTTCACGGATTGAGGGCGGGTCGTTTTCAAAATGTGGTTCTCGCCTTAGCGCAGCGCACATTCATGTTAAGCATGTGCAAGAGCTTCACGGATTCAGGGCGGTTCTTTTCCAACATGCGGTTCTCGCCGTAGCGCCGCTCACATTCGTTTTCAAAATGTACAAACATTTCACGGATTGAGGGCGGGTCGTTTTCAAAACGAAGTTCTCGCTATAGCGTCGCGTACATTCGTTTTCAAGAAGTTGCAAGAGTCTAACGGATTGAGGGCGTTTTTTCTGTAAAATGTGGTTATCGCCTTAGCGCCGCATTCGTTCGTTTAAATGATTTGGAAGAGATCCACGGACTCCCATAGGCAACGTACCAGACATTGTGTTCTGGAAGGTTTTGGGATTATGCGGGTGCAACAGTTATGTTGATTCGCAGTGTTGAAGTCCCAAACATGGCGTTCTGGCAAGAGTTGGTATCGTCAAGGCGCAGCAGTCAGGTTGATTCGTGGCGTTGAAATCCCGAGAATAATGTTTTGGCATGCTTCAGGGTCTTCAAACGGTTGTCTTCCAACGAGGCAGCTCCGTAAATGGAAATTAATTGTAGTAGGGGCCTATTAAGAGGGAGCTTGGAAGGAGGGTTAATTCCAACATGGTTGATGACTCTTGGATTTACACGGGTCCTCCTCCTCTTCCTCCTCTCCGCCTCCTCCTCCTCCTCCCCCTCCTCCTTCATCCTTCCTCCTACCTCCGTCTTTTTGTCTTCCTCCTGCTTCCTCCCTCCTCCTTCCTCCTCCTCCTCCTGCTTCCTCCTTCCTCCTCCGCCTCCTCTTCCTCCTCCTGCTATCACTCCCTGCTGGTTCCACCCCCTCCCTCCCTGCCTGCTTTCCCCTAGGCTCAAGGGCGGGGGGGGGGACGCATCGACCACCAATCGCCCATTGATCGCCAATAGTTGCCTGATAACCCAGCCCGCTCAGGACAGTGCGGCGGATGTGCTGCGGGGGACTATCGCCGACTTACTTGCGATACATCGCTGGTGCAAGGTCAACGTTCCCCCCCTGAGCCACTTCCCCCGTCCTCCGCCCCCACCCTCCGCATCCTCCTCCTCCTCCTCCCTCCTCCCCTTGCTCTTTCTCCTCCTCCTCCTCCTCCTCCTCCTCCTCCTCCTCCTCCTCCTCCTGCATCTCTTCTCTTACCCTCCCTCCCTCCTCCCTCCCTCCCTCTCGTCACTTCCTCCCTCCTATCCCAATCCCTCCCTCCCCCCCCCCAACTGCCTCCTCATCCCTATCTCTCCTCTCACTCCTCCTCCTGCCCCTCCTCCTCCTCCTTCCTGCTCCTCTTCCTCCTCCTCCTCCTCCTCCTCCTCCTCCTCCTCCTCCTCCTCCTCCTCCCCCATCTTCCCATCCCTCCTCCACGTTTACACTCATCCCTTCCCTCCTCCTCCTCCTCCTCCCCTGGCGCAGGCCTCGACGGCGTCTCGGGCTACGAGCCCCCCCCGCCGGGCGCGAGCCCTGGCGCGGCGGAGGGCGGCGAGATGGACACGGGTCCCAGCAGCGGCTCGGAGGCGCAGGCGGAGGAGCATCGGGGCATCGGGGTTCAAGAGACGGGGGTTAATGCATCCGGGAGTCAGCCAGAGCGCCAGATCTTGCTGGATCCTGCAGGGCCAGGGTCGCATTGACCCGGGCTTGGGTGCAGGATTCTGCAGGATCTTGCAGGATCCTTCGCATTGACCCGGGTTTGGGTGCAGGATCTTGCAGGATTTTGCAAGGCTTGACTGACCCGGGTCTGGATTGACCCGGGTCAGAAAATCCCCGAGGGCAACGTTAGGGGGGGGATGGGCTGCGGTTTGCCAGCCTCAGGATGTTTTTCATCAGCTGCGCCTCGCCGAGAGGCGTCCAGGGGTATCCGGATCGCCCCGAGCGGCAGTTGGAGGCCAAGTGATGGGCCGAAAACCAGGGGCAGTGCGAAGGCGGGATGGATTCAGGGGGGAATCGCCCAAAGACCACCGATTGGTGCCCGATAGCCCGCCCAGGACCGTTCGCATTCGCCGTCGGAGGGGCTTGTCGCCGATGCATCGGCGATGCGTCGCCGATTCCAGGTTGGTGTTTCCACCCCTGGGAGGGTCTACCCCCTACAGCGCTCCCCCTTAACAGGCGACGACGGCGGCGACGACAGCGGCGGCGATGGCGGCGGCGGCGGCGACGACGGCGGCGAAGACGATGGCGTCGAGGGCAACGACGACGGCGGCGGGTCCGCCCCCTACAGCGTTCCCCCTTAGCAGGCGACGGCGGCGGCGACGACAGCGGAGATGGCGGTGGCGATGACGGCGACGACGGCGACGACGGCGGCGGGGTGTTGCACAGGGAGGGCCGAGAAGATCGACAACGTAGTCGGATTCGTCTCTGACTTTTGTTGGGTGGTTATGCAGGGTCTCATCGCCACAGTTGAATGCGTCTTGTCCTCCATGCCTCTTCCTTGTCCACCTGCCTGCAGTACATCCCGCCACCGTGCCGGCCTATCAATCTGGGTGGTGAGTTTGCGAGGATGAAAGGGCCGTGGTGAGAACGAGATGAGGAGGAGGAGGAGGAAGAGGAGGAGGAGGAGTAGGAGGAGGAGGATGTTGATGGTGATGGTGATGTTGTTGTTGATGATGATGATAAGTATCATGACGACAACGACGACGACGATGATGAGCGTGGTGATGATAATGATGCTGATGATAATGATGATCATGATGATGAGTTTGCTGATGCTGCTGGGTATGATGATGGCGATGCTGATGGTGATGATGATGATGATGATGATGATGCTGATGATGATGATGATGATGATGCTGATGATGATGATGATGATGATGATGATGATGATGATGATGGGTGTTCTTGAACTTTAATCCTGGAGCAGAATGAGTGCCGCTGGACAACGACGTCCATCTCGGAGCCGCTTGATAATTTTATCTGTGTGTTCCAACGTCCATCTGATAACTTTATCTGCCATCCGCAGCCTTCTCTCTCGAGATGCGGCCAGAGGAGGCCTGGATTTCATCGATCGCCCTCTTCCTGGCCGGGTTCGCCCTCGGTCCAGCCTCGCGCGGGCTCGCGCCCCCTGGTGGCGGGCCGCCACCACCCGATCCTCCGCCGGCCGCGGAGGCGCCATTGGAGCCAGAGGCGCCCTCAGCCGAGGCCTGCGCCGCCCGGGTCCAGCCCGCTCCGCCGTGCGCGGAGTCGACCGTGGAGCAGCGGCCGCCCTCCATCGAGGAGTGCGCCGCCCTGCTCCAGGAGTGCTCGGCGGGCGCCGGGCAGGAGCCGGTGCAGCAGCTTGCCGTGTCGCTCGCGGGCCCGCTGCTCGTGGAGGCGCTTCGCTGGCTGCTCGCCGGGCTTGGGTGTTGCCGACGCGCCTTGGCGGAGCAGCCTCCGCCGGCGCCGCGGCCAGCGCCCTCTGTGCTGCCTGCTGGCAGCCGTGCGCACCAGCAGCCGCGGGGTTCAGGCGTGATTAAATGATTGAGGGTGATGAGCTTTTCGTCGAGTGCGCGGTCCAGCTTCCGCTGCTGCACGGCCGCACTGTGGTGGGTGTTTCTCAGATACAGCCTCTCCACGCAGTGGTGGTCACTCCCGACAACGACCTGTACGTGGAAGAGCTGGAGCCCGCCAACACGGACATCCGCGCCTGGTTTCGTCGGGCTCCTGGCGGGGGGCCCCCGCCGCCCGCGGCAGCCGGGATCCCCGTGTACGATTTCGCGCAGTCCCTCACGCTCGCCGACTTCCACGCGCTGCGCCCTGCGGCCCTCAGGCTCGTCGCCGAGCACGACGCCGCCCTGGCCGCCGCCGGGGCCGCCGGCGCTGTCGTGCCCGCCGGGTTGGGCCCCGCCGTGGCCGCTGCAGCAGCTGCGCCCATTGCACCTGCTGCTGCAGCAGGGCCTGCAGGCCTTGCCGGCGCTCTGGCGCCTCCCCTCGTCCCCGGGGCTCCTGCTCCGGCACCTATCGCAGCGGCTGCTGGAGCAGCTGCCGCCGCGGCCGCCCTTGGCCCGGCAGCAGCGGGGGCCCCCGCACCGGGTGCCGCGGGCGGCGGCGCTGCCGCCGCCGCCGCTGCTGCCGGGCACGGAGGCCTCCACGCAGCACTCGCCGGAGGCGCCGGGCTCCCACCAGCCGCAGCAGGAGACGACTTCCGCACGCTGGCCGTCACCTACGACCAGGAGGGCCGACGCCACAAGGAGTTCCACGACGGGGTCAGGGCCATGCGCCAGCAGACCTGGCCAGACTGGGTCGTGCCGGGCCCGTGCACGGTCCTGTGGTGCGCCAACTACATGCTGGAGAACGGCGGGTCGGCGGTGGGGCACCACATCGCGTTCCGCTCCGCCTGCCGCCTCGGGCTGGGCGACCCCATCATGTTGCTTCACTCCGAGATGTCGAAGATCTTCCAGACTGCGTTGTGCTACGACCAGCTTGACGCCAGCAACATCGCCGCCCTCGAACTCATCTGCCGCCAGATCCAATTGTGCGAGGAGAGGCTCAAGGACGTTCTGCTCGGGTCGTCGGGCCCCGAGGGCCAGCATGACGAGAGCTACTTCTTCACGGGGCTGCAGAACACTCGAGGGGTCATGGTGTGCCCGGCTCTCGCAAAGTGGATTTCGGAGCAGGTCGCCGCCGAGAACGCCGTGGCCAAGGAGCGCCGCAAGGCGCGGGAGGAGAGGGCGCTCGCGAGGCCGCCGCCGGGCCGCGGGCCGCGGCCGGGCCGCGGCAGCGGCTCGTGAGCCGCGCGGCCGCTCGACAGGACAAGGCCGCTGCCCGCGCCCTGGCCGCGCGCGGGAGCTCCCAGTGCAGGCCCTTCGCTCCTGGCCTAAGATGGTGGCCAGTCGTCAGCGAGACATTTTCCCTCTCTCCCCGCTCGACGTGCCCGCCAGCTTGCCTGGCGGCTCCCGGGCTATTCAGCGACGGCGTCAGCGGCTTCAGCACAGCGCTAGGCTCGCCAACCACGCTATCGAGTCCCTCAACTTCATGGCTGGCCGTTCCTACGACGGGCCCGCCCAGCTGGACACGGTCACCCAGGCCCTCGCGAAGGAGCGCGTGCCGGGCAACTGCGTCGCGCTGGGGCCCAAGCCGCGCGACGTCAGCGCCCACGGGGGCCTCCGCGAGCTCTGTGGGAATGCCATTGCATATGGCGACTCCTCCCCGGTCGTGCCCTACAACAAGGACCTCGTGTCCTGGCCCGAGACGGGCGCGGCGCCAGTGCAGCTGTCGGACGCGCTCGCCCCGGAGCACCACACATGGTTGAGGGATCTATTGGCCAACTCGCGTCGCTGTAACGCTGACGCTGACCGCCTCAGGAAGGAGTTGGGCTTGGTGCGCCCTTGCTCCGACCCAGCCTTCCGCACCATCTCTAACTACGCTGGCTTCGTCAAGCAGTTGCGCTCCCGTGGCATGGTGCGCTTCGCCCTCGCCACCGGCCGGCCGCCGTCGCTGGGCATCTTCATGGTAGCCAAGATGAGCGGGGCCCAGCGCATTATCTTCGACACGAGGTGGGCAAACCTGGACTTCACTCCTCCGCCTCGGACCCAGCTGCCGACGGCGGCCGCGTTCAGCCAGATCGAGTCGGCTGGCTGCGACGTCTGCTACTTCTCCGCCGGGGACATCCAGAACGCGTTCTACGCCATCGCCATCCCTGACGAGCTGGGCGACGCTTTCAGGCTGAAAACGGTCCGAGCTGGCGCCGTCGGCTGTCCGGTCGTGGATGGCCGCCCAACCCGCCCGGGGGACCTGTTGACCCCGCACCTCGCCGTGCTCCCCATGGGCTGGAGCTGGGCGCTGCACCTCTGCCAGCTCGTGGTTGAGGAGGGCGCCCGACGAGGGGGCCTGCCCGCCGATCGGCTGCTCAGCGATCGCGCGGCCGCGGCGCCGCTGGCCCCTGCTGTCCTGCAGGGGGCTGTCTACGTCGACAACTTTCTGGTGCTCGGCGGGCCCCGCCAAGCCGTCGCCTCCACTGGGCAGCTGGTGGCGAGTGCCTTCTCCGGCTTCGGCTTCGTGGTGCACGAGGAGACTGGCGCGTCGTCGAAGGTGAACTTCGTTGGGCTCGAGCTTGACGGTGTCGACTATACGTCGCGGGTCTCGCGGAAGCGAGCGTGGCGCCTGAGGGTAGCTCTGGCCGAGCGGCTCTCCCAGGGGCGCTGCAGCGGCGACGTCATGGAGATCCTGGTCGGCCACCTGACGTGGGTCATGCTGCTCCAGCGGTCCGCGCTCTCCGTCCTGTCCAGCGTGTACGCTTTCGCGCAGGCTGGCAAAGGGCGCGTGCTGGACCTGTGGCCGTCGGTTCGCCAGGAGTTGACGACGGCCATGGGCCTGCTCCCGCTGCTCGTCGTCCACGCCGACGCCGTCTGGCACAGCGTCGTCGCGGCCAGCGACGCCTCCCACTGGGGCTGCGGGGTGCGCCGCCGGCACTGCCAGGCTTCAGAGGCCGCTTCCTTTGGCCGGGTGGCGGAGCGCTGGCGCTACCGCGCTGCCGGGGCGGCCAACGCGCGCGCCCACGCCTTCCTCGCCGAGGGCGAGGCCCCGGACGTCGGCGCTGGCGCGGGCACCGAGTCCG